GAATTGGTTTCTTTTTAGGTCAAATTTTTATTTAAATAATTAACAAATCACCCCCTCCCAACAATAACCTTGTTGACACCGATTTACAAGTCAACAGGGTACGGTGGGCTTACCTGGTGAGTTGTTTCTGTTGTTGTAGTTGTAGGGTGCAGGCATGGTCTGGTAGCCCAAGCTTTGCTGGGAGCCTCTGTCATAGTCGTAATTGTAAGTAGCTTGTTTGTTAGCAGCGTTACGTTGGTACCAGCCTCTCAGGTGCTCAGCCACCACAGCCTTCTGCATACTCTTGGTGGCTTGTTCGTTGCTGCAGGGCATGTGGCGGTTCCTTGGCGGTCGCAGTGTGGCGTAAGGATTATGTGAAATGCCATCCATCTCATCATTACCATATTGGCTGTGATAATCCGATTGGATGTGGGAATAAGGATTGACATTATAATGGCCCTCCATCTCATTATCGTACATGTAGACTCCGTTAGAGTATGGCTCTGAGCCGACGTAGCTGGGATATCCTGTGACGTAGTAGGCTGTGGTAGTCGGTCTGCTTCGTGGCTGATAGGCGTAGCAATGGGCGTCTGGCTGAGCCAGGTTGGGCATACTCCCAGTATTGGCGTACAAGTCTCTTCTGTGGCGACCCCGAGTTCTGCGTCTATGGTTGTGGTTGCCTGGAACACTGCATTCCACACTGGACTGGCTTGTGTAAGAAGAACCATCATCCAGGACCTCTGTGCTGTTGCTGCGGCGAGGAGCAGTGAAGGTGAATGTTGGCACGGGGGGTTCATTCACAGTTAGGAACTGAGACTGGGACTCTAAACTCCCGCTGCGCTGGCGAAAATGTTGTGGAGCATCTTCTGATCTAAAAGGTGAAATAATTGTATTATGTTTTCTAAAGATTTGCGCTTAAAGAAGAAAAAACTGTTTAAAAAATAAAGAAAATACAGAGCGTGAGGCCTTACCTGAGCTGGGTGCTGCTGAGGGCATTGCGGGTGAGGAGGGGCGTTGGTGGCATGCTTCGGGCATCACGTGGCTGTCTGGAAGCAGATTTAAAGGGGCTGCTGTGGCTTGATAGAGCTTCGTGGTGGCTGTAATGCAGTGATTCCTGGACAGGTTCATAATTAAATCTGAAAGAGAGATAAGAACACAATTTTAAAGGCAGAACTTTTCTAAGATAAACCACAGGCTTAACACAAAAAGTGATGACGAAAGGGGAAATGTGTTTGCCTGGGTGTTGCATTTTATTTACTACTCACACCTGAAACACTGTTAATTTTATAGTCCAATGATTTTTTTTTACCCTTTCATGCAACAGTGAGCATAGCAGCACGTATGCGTATTCAAAGATTAAGCATCGCTTGTGATATTTTGTAAACAGCTGCTGCCTTTTGAGCAGTTTCTAGAGAAACTTTTCTGTATTGCTTTTTACACTCTCAACTTAAGAGTTGTTGTTGCTCCTTCACAGGCAGTGACATGTTCTTCTACGTCTATTTTTAAAGCCGGTATGTTTGGGCTGATAAGAGGGAGAATGTTGGGAGAGCCAGAAAAAAAAGAGGGTGGTGGTTACTAACAGGAATGTAGCCCTGCGTCTGCTCTACAGGTCTGTACTGGCTCTACGGTTAAGGATTCTTACTCACACTTTTGTTGTTAGTACAAACTGTGTACCTGCTGTCTGCATGCTGGTCATTGACAGAAGTGCGTTGCTCTCTGTTGTACTGGATGTCCAAAGTGTCTGCATGGTGTGGCCTTGGAGAATACTGCACAGACGTGGGCCGCTGCCTTTGGGAACTAAACTCATCATCTAGGAGATTAAAAGAAATAACTAATAAATAAAAACCCTATAGACATACAAACACCCATCCTTAAATTTCAACACTCACCATCATCCAGAGTGAGGCTGTCAGATAAAGAACTGAGGTCTGAACGGTTTACGTCATCTAATAACAAGGAAGAAGGGACATTGTTTTAAATCAAAACAGCATTCAAATTTAAAATGTAGAGAGATTTTATCTCTCAGTACCTGCTAAGACCAGTGAAGCTCTCTGTGTGGGCTTCTGTCCTTTTTTGATCCTGTAGGCATTGATCTCCCTGTCTATTTCCCCCAGCTTCCTTTTTGCATCCAAATAGTTATTTCTCCTTTTCTTCCTCACCGTCTTGCAAAGATCACCCTCGCTGGCTAGCTTAAAGGCTGCTTCCACAATCTTCTGCTGCAAGGCAAACATGCTCTCAAGATTCCTTAGATGTGGGTCCTGCGCAGACGCACACACACACAAAAAAAACACCGAAATGAATGGGAATTTCCCCTCAATAAACCATATTCTGTCAGCAGTCCTCTGAACAAAAACATAACAAAACATTTGAAAACTCACATTTTGACCTGCAGATGCAAACCATACACATCTTGCGTTACAAAATTGTTTAATTATTTTTGCCCGAATAATCACAAGATGAGGGCAAAACCCCCCAATGAAATAATAAGGACATTTACCTCATCATAAGGAAAAAGGTCATCGATCTTAAAAGCTGCACCAACACGGCGTCGGACTTGGGGAGCTTTCTCTCCTGCGTCCATAGGATACTCTTTAGGTAAACGGCCTGTTAGCTCCTGTATGGTAGAACAAACCCTTTATAAATGAGAGGACACTCTTGGACACATTCCATCAGTGTGAAACTGACAAACAGAGACACTCACGGCCTCTCTTAAGCAGATCTCTTTCAGTTCCTGAAGTTTCTTCGTCAGCTTTTCTTGGAGGTCTTTTTCTTTCCTTTTTAACTCAACAACCTTCTCTTTTTTCTGCTCATCACTTACTTCAGAATCTGCAGAACCTGAAACAGGCACTCGTCCGATTAACTTAATTTTTTTTACATAAAACATCACTCATCAGGCCTGTGTAAAAGAACTGTCATTAGCATATTAACTGTTTGCTTACCAGCTGAGATGAGGCTACCACTGCTAGCCATGATGAGTGGGTCTTTGCTCTCAATGCTGGAGAGTTTACTGATCTGCGGGGCACAGATTTGTGTGAGATCAACGGCGATGTCTCCTGAGCTCCTGGCCGTGGTCATTTTTGACTGCATGGTAAAGAAGTGGGCAGAGGTGTAAACAGTATTGAAAAAAAAAATTGAAGCTTATGCTTGGTAGCTTTGTTCACCTATATTAAATATAAATATGCATAATGACTAGAATTTTGGTTGACCCACGTATCGACCAATAAATCGACCAGTTGACTGGGAGATTACAGCCCTAGTGGAAGCACTCCAAGTATTTTATTTTATGATAGCGCACTGTGTTAATGGTGGCTCCATTTGCATATGCAGAGCTCTGAGTACCCTGCTCTATCATCAATCAGCTGGGGCTCTATTCCTGGATGAACACTGACACACCATCTGCCTTTGAGGAAGACAGAGGCTGAATAACCTCATTAAACTACAGCCACATAAGCTCATCCATTTCCACAGAAAAATGCACATCACACCAGACATTAAGGCTTTGTTAATACTAGCAAATCTGCATCATAAACACAAACCCATCGAGTGTAAGTGGCCTTAGGGCGATGAGTTTTAATTCTCACACTAGCACCAAGACTATACTTTGTATTATTCACAGTGGCACAGCCATAAAAGCAGGTACTCGTTCCAAACTAAAACACTTTTATGTTTTTTCCTATTAAAATCTGTCCAAGGAATAATAAAGACAGCTTTTACTATATTATACTGACTACTATACCATTAAAATAACTGAATACTTTTCCTCAGGGCATTCTTAAACACGCTTGAACATTCAGTTTGTAACCACACACTTCCTCCTTGTACTTTCATTATGTTACAGCAATACCATTTATGTTTAACAATACCCAGAGCATATAAGGAATAATGTGAATGGTTTATTTAAAAATACTACTTAATTGTATATACACTTTTTTAATTATGCAAGTGTTTCTCAATCTCAGTGGACAGCTGGCTTAGATGATTGTGTTCTGGTAAGCAGATACTTTAAGCTGATATTTTACTGGGGTTTTTACACTAACAACAGTTCACAGCTGGAGATCCCAAATATAATATTCTTTTATACATAAAACCAGCCTTCTTCATTAATGTCATTAGAATGTATGAAGAAACATAAGAAGAAATAATACAAGTACAACTAAAAGACATTTACATTTTAAAAAACAGTTGATTGACTATTGACTAATAGTTGATATTTGTGTTACTCCTTCAGACAGCCAAAAAGAATATGACCTACAAAAGATACGCTTACATTAAAACAACAGGTCATATCCTGTATTTACACAAGAAGAAGGCATGGGACACAGGTGACGTAGTTATCACATGATGGGCAGTCACTGTTGTACCAGGCTATAGTGACAGCTTTTCTCAGTTCAGAATATCTATCTAAAAATGCATCTTCAATCTTCTTTTATGCTGTCCATTCTATCAAACTCACAGTGCAGAGGATTAGTGAAAAAAGGCAAGCTCTTCACACAGTTAGGAGAACAATGATTGGAGTCCAGTTTAAGAGGGAGTCTGGGAGTCTTTTCAGTGAAATTCTCACTGAATTTGTGTTGAGAATGACGTTTCAAAAAAGTTACAGACTTACTTTGCTTTGTTTTCTATCCAGGTAGAACTGGTGTTGGCTGATGGCCATCACCCAGATGGTTTTAATCAGCGAGTGGCTGGCATACCATGTGTGAATAACCAGGCCAGACTGTCCGAAGGTTCGCTTGGTTACTGTTTTTCTGTGAGAGATAAGACAGACACTGAGTTTTTCTACTTGTCCAGGAAACAAATCTTTTTTCAGTCCCAGCGGAACCATGATTTCATTAAAAGAAATTAACCACAGACTGGAAAGCATTTTTATAAAACCTTTATCCAATTAGAGTAATTTCTGTAGTGAAACGCACCTAAGGTAAGTCAAGCAGTGGCATCTGACACAGACTGTGGGATTTTACGATGCCGTGGACACTGAAAGTGCTGCATTAAAGGCTGTGGTAGGAGCAGAGGCTTACGACAGCCACACCATAATAAAGTGGTCCTCGACTGGTGAGGAGCATCCATTTACCAGAGTGGTTACAGCCATTAGCACACTGTCCTCAGTAGATGGTGGACATTATATGATCCTTTCTAGTGTGTTAGTCGTGTGTAAGGGAAATTTAACACTTGAGTGGGAGATGAAATAAAGGATTGTCTTCTCTGACCTGTGCGGATCATTCACTTCCACTGCGAACTTCTTCTCACGAAAGTACAAATTCTCCAACTGCTTCCAATGAAACAACTGTGAACAAAAACAAAAAGTGAGGTAATAAAGGAGAAGGGATTAGACTTTAGTACACCAGTTGGTACAAAAGACACACCTATAGATGATTGAAGTGAAAATGTTTTATATATTTAGGCTGTAAAATACACTTTTTCAGCAAGTAATTACCCATGTTTCAGTACATAAGTAACATTGAAACATTAGCCGGTAGAAAGCACCTTTTAATGTAATGTTTACTCTCAGTCAAAGCGAACGTTGATTTTAGCAGTTTTAGAAGCATAAGTCTTGAATGGGAGTCAGTGCAAACCATCATGTGTTAAGTTGAGCCTGATGGAGAAGCAGTCATAATGCTGCTTCAGCTACAGAGCTGCTTCTCATTTCATTCTTTTGGAATGAAGACCAGAATCAAGACGTCTGTCAAAGTAAAACATCTGTCTCATGGCTAATACTCCCACCTCTCAGATATGGAGCAACATGTTTGGAAACGACTTTTCCTCTATTTGATTTCAGTGAAAATATACTTAAATGTAGTAGTATTGCATTTTTACATTGCATTACATGAAATTGATGTCAACATGACTCACACAGTAACAGAGTGCCTTTTACTCTATCACAGAAAGCACGTTACAAACCAGACAGATATTAACAGGGAAACAAAAGATAAAAACGTAAATGGCAAGAGGACATAACAAAATGTCTTACCCACAGGTTTGTTTTCCTCCTACTGAATCCTTGATGAATTCTTTTATTTTTGTTTTAAATCCTCTGACAGAGTTTCCCACAGGGCTGAGTCCTGTGAGAACAATACACTCTCTTGTCTGTTCTCAGGGAACTAGATAGGTGTTGCAAGACTGCAAGAGTTTCAGCTGAGCTGGCCACACCCCTTTTACTGCCACCTCCTCCTCTGACATCACACACACATACACACCTTACTTCCTTCAAAGCTTTGACCTGCTGCACCACTCTCCCTCTCCTTCACACAGCCCGCTTTCCTTACTGCCAGACCAGGTAAGCTGGTTGTACACATCTACTTACCTCCCAACAAACTATAGATAAGCCATGAGGCCAATGTAGACTTTGAATTTACCGCTTTACATTGGGAAGTGCTCTGCTTTTCATGTTTAAAACATGCAACCCTTCAGTGTGTAGTTGAATCCACTACCCTTGAGCCCCTCAGGCCAAGCATGTCAGGAATCTGCCACTACGGTCTAATCATTAATAGCAGGGGCCCAAGGCAGGTAATAAACACACCATGGACTGTATTTGTATTTGGCCTGTATAGTTTTTGAAAATGAAGATACAATACAAATCACTAATTATTTGTGTTTGAAGGCATTTTAATGACAGAGTCCATCTGCATTTAAAACAAAACAAAGGTGTAGGGTACCTAAGAACAATAGCAAGCATCCCACAGGACACATTATGCAAAACGGTATCATTCTGTAGAAAGAACCCCTCACCAGTTCCTCCTCCTATCACTTGGGATCATTTACATTGCAACAAAAGTTGAGAAGAATCACACGTTCACTGGTCAAAGACTTTAAGAAGTTAAGGGTTTCACTCAGATGAAACTTATGGATGGAAACAGAGCCAAAATATGTCAAGGATGTGACACACCTTCGATCACAAAACTGCTGAAGGAGTCATGTAAAACTGTCCAACCGGTTCAGGGTAAAAAAGATAAGCACACTAGCCAGCTGACGGACAAAATCACTTAAAAAGTGCACTAAGCATAAAGACTCCCCCCATTTCTTTGTGAGCTGAGAATGTCTTGAAATTGTTGGCAGGATAGACTAGTAATGTTAACAAACCAATAGGCAAACTGTTACTCCTGGTGTCTTTATTATGCTTTGCGCAAACACATTATACCTTAAGTATTTAAATAAAATGGATGATGTACCAAAAAGCTAAATACAAAAAAATAGCTAATTACTAAGTTTACAATTTCATTAGAATTTGAAATTTCCATGGAAATGGGGCTTTTTTTACTTACTTTCTACTTGATGTTTGTGTTTACACTACACGCTACCATGTAAATGTTATTAGGCTAAAATGCAAATTTAAGTCTCTTCTTGTTATCAATAAACATATCTCAATCTCAAGTGAAATCTAAAATAGCTGAAATAGATAAAATAATAAAAATAACTTTATGTAAAACAAACTTAGATGAAAGTTAGCCCCCAAAAATGGACAGAATGACTTAAAATAATAAAGGAAAGAAAAAGATTTTTCTGGGATAACAGTATAAACCAGATGATTTTAATCTTTTTTAAAGTATGCAATCATTATTTTAATAACTGAGTTTATCTCCTTTTTCGCTGAATGATTCATGACAGGAAGTCTGCCAGATATGCCTGCAGATTCAATATGGGATCAGGGCGTTCCAATCCTGTTACCACTGACAAACCACGGCCCCCTGAAGCCTTTACTCCACAGACACATGCTGTATGTGGATAAAAATGTGTCAACGAGTGACTCACATACCCATACAGAAAAAGGATCTACCCCACCCTTGACATGTCACATACCAACACTGGCTGATTGGCAACGCAGCGGGTTTCCAAAACAGACACAGAGATTCAATTAGTAAAAACCAAGAAACATGAGCAAGAACTGAAATAAATTCTCATTCTCATCGAGTAAAACTTAAAGACAGAAGATGATACAATTTGCATTCTTGTGATAATTCCATTAAATTTCCTTTTCCATATACAAACTTTCCCCCAGCATATGTCAGTATTACTTAATGTCTGACAATATCAAGCACAATTCACTTAAATTAATCTGTATTTAGTTTTAAGTTTTCTGCTGGCTCATCATCATGTGGACCACCAGTGTGGGGTCTCACAGAGACGTCTGCTGAACACCAAGAAAGACTGTGTTTTCAAGTGAATCCTATTTGCTATATCATTGTTGTGGTACGGACCAAAATGCATTGGCATACCTCTAAATCATATTATTCAGTATTACATGAGATGCAATTGGCCTTAAATGTTTTTACAGTTCATGAAGAGAAGAATCAGTCACAGTCTTGAGCAGCTCAGGTTATTCAGACAGCCCAAACACACAAATACTTTGCTTGCAAAACTGCCAGAATTACTACTCTTGGTTACCCGGGAATTAATGCGTCACAATGTTTTTTAAGTTTTTGTTGGATGCAGCAGAAACACATATATAGTACTTTTCTGTGCAGGATACATTACAGTTTCTTTGTGTACAGTTTTTGAATATTGACGTTGTACAGAAGTTATGTGGTGAACAAATCCCTTTGTACAGTGCCTGTACATGTTGGTGATAACAGCTGTCCACACTTTTAAATGTTGTATTTGCTCTATCATATCAGTTGGAGTAACAATTTCCAATATCAGTACATGCTGACATGAGAACACTAAGATCACATGACATTCCATCACATTCATTTTAAAAGATATTTAAAATGTAAATGTTTCTGCATAACTTCTAATTTTCACATGATATATTAGCCTTCTATAAATACTAGTTAAGGTAAACCTCAGCTTAAAACATGTCTTTACCTGGCACTGTATTGAATTATGATGAAAGATTTAGGGCTACCACACCACCAATCTGCAGACCACACACACATACTGTATGCATGTGCATACACACACGTGTGCACTTGAATGAGAGCATCATGCTGAGAGGACAGGATAGATGGGTTGGGTTACATACAAAGGCTGTGAACTAAGTCATGATGAAACTCTGTTGAATGTTCTCCAGACAATAAGGACTTGCTTGAAGGCAAGAACGAAAGAAGCATACTGTTTCAATTATCAGCACAGCAACAACAAGATCATTTAGATCGGCAACAGTTTTAATACAACACAAAGTCTCAAGTGGTCACCTCTGGTGACATTTGAAGCAAAGGTAAAAACAAACTGGTCACCTCTGGTGACATTTGAAGCAATGGTAAAAAAAAAAACACTTTAATCAAAGTCTCCAAACTTCAAACACAAACCAAACTGACCCCCGTGCTGACACAGTGCCAAATTAATTCCAGGAGGCAGACACACAGGGGCTGCACCCAGCAATGCCTAAATACTCAGTCATAATAACAAACCCAACTTTGTCAAAGGATTGCCATAAACTAGCTATGGTAAGACTAATGAAAAGGGCCATGGTCTGATTAATAAGACTCATACTCACACAAAGGAAATGTAACCACTGACACTAGTACCACAGCACACAGCTGGTGTTGGGGGATTTCACTCCCCTAGTGCTTCTTTTAACTTTCTACATTTCAATCACACCCTTCTGTTCTGGTCCTGAAGTGCAAATGGTCAGTTTAACAATATGCTCATGGGCTAACAGTTTTAAAGTGATGTAGGTCATTGTGCATAGCTTTATGAAAAAGTCATTGTGTTCTCTGACTGTTCCCAAACAAACAGTCCGTGCTCATTTTCACCCCCCTCACATGATCGGACCAGCACACAGCAATGTTGTCATTTTCTCTAAAGGTCACATTTAAAGGTGACCTACTGGAACATTAAGAGATTCATAAATCCAGTGTGTCTAGTCCCCCCCCCCCCCCCACACACACACACACACACGCACGCACTATCTGTCAGACTGGTAAAACCTGCGGTATGGCTAATGGACTATGTCTATTTTTGTCACTGTAGAAACACACATTAGTAGTACTATCTAGTAATGATGAATTATACAGTACACTGAATACTGTATGATTGAATTCAATTATGGAATTCCAAGTATTATTGAGGTTGTGTTGAAGCCAAAGGAAAAGGAAATTACAGTTGCAGTGCAACTTCTAGCAGATATTGACTAATTAATCATTATCTAACTAATCAATATACATTACAGCATGTACTGATGTAAGAGAATCACTTTAATGATTAGCTATTTGCTATAATAATTTACAAAGTTTGTATATAAAAATTGTTTACATGACTGAAAACACATGCTATCTACAGATTTTTTAGTAACAGGGAAAAAAAATGGGGGATTAAATTCCTCTCTTTACTCCTTTTAAATGAATCACTGACAACGGCAAAGGGTTAGCGTTCTGGCTTTTAAGGTAAATGTGTACTTGGAACCTACTGTATGGCGTGTCAAAAGGAAAATCAGGAAAATAAGATAAAAAGGTGCTTTATTTACCTTTCTTGGTTTCAGTTTATCCTGTAAATCGTATTGAGCAATGCCTCTGTAACTCACTCCCAGCCACCACGGTATTCCTTGCTTGTCCTGCATGGAAGCAGATATAACGGTTAATTAGAAGCAGCTTTATTGGTGTGAGCTAGGGAAATTAAACAACAACAAAAACAAAGGTGTGTTACTGAAGCTATTATCCTGTTTGGCTCACAGCACAGAAGAGAATGGGTACATTCAAGGCCTTACAATCTATGCAAGCCAGTCTGAATTGTTTAGCCTCCCCTTTTGATCTTCCCAGACACCTTGATTTAATGAGATTTAATATGGAAAGTTAGCAGGGGGAGGGAAAAGCAAGGACTGCTGGAGGGGTAGTCTAAATCATGCTAAACAAAACATGTATGCTGCACTGACTGACTGAATTCCTGTCCTAATCCTATGCCACCCAAGCAGAGCAGATACATTATGTGTTCCACAAAGCTGCTGTGGTTACAGAAAAAGTCAAACAGGAAATGTTGCATTCATTCACTACAGAATGAGATTTTGCATTAAAATATTTTTTGAATCCTTTTGCCTTTTTCCAATTTAGCTTAAAAAGTATTGTACTGTAGATGTGATTTATTAGAGGATGGTTTAGTTTATCTCGGCTCCGCTCTCACAATTAGAGCATAGACAGCATAATGCTTCAGCAGACACTCAGAAGAATGGTCTGAATTGACAATTTTATTTTTAAATGTCTGTGATCTCAGGATTTTTACAGAGACATAGGCTGTTAGATAAGAAACGTAAGTCTCAGAAATAATTTAAAAATGTATTTTTAAAACCATCAATGCACCTATTTTAGTTTAAATTGAAAGTGTGCATTTGGATTTAGCCAAAGGATAAACTACTGTGTTACTCAAAAAACATGGTTACCTTCACTTGATAATAATGAACTCCATATGTTGGCAAAGACTCCACCAGTGCAAGATACCTTCAAAGAGAGGGAGAGAGAAATAGGTTATTGAAAATGCAACCACTTACACTTCAGCAGATTGCTGTTGTACAAACAGGCAGAGTGGGATTCAAGCCACAAAGAACGGGGAGCCTCAGTCATTTGTTGTGGCAAATTGATCGATTTGTCTTTGGCCCATGAGAGAATAAGTTCATTGATCAGCTCAAGGGCACAAATCATCACAGTGTAAATGACCCAGGAGTGTACAGTCCCAGGAAAATATAGCAGACGACTAAATCCTCACAAGGTTGGTTGGCTGCCAACACAGAACACACCTCTTCTAATTAATGATACATTCTGGCTCGGTGACAGCAGCCACCTCCTATAACAATAGTCATCACTACAGCAGCTCACACAAAACCTGATCTAACAACACTGAGTGGTGACAATAAGGAAGAAAAAAAAACCTTATAAAATATAACTGTACTGCATCATTTGAACTTACTTTACAATGGCTTGTCCTCGGGTTTGTCCCTTTAGTTTCTTGTAATGTTCGATCACCCTGTCTTCACTGCAAATAAAAAGAATAAACATTTACTCCGTAATTCGTGAAGTATTACACATTCAAGCCACAGAGAGAGATGGTCGGGAGAGGGGCCTTTGTTTTACACACATTGTGTCTGCTCATGCAGAAAATGTAGTCTGCCCCACTGTCCTGTTGATGGCTCTCATCCACTCCTCCTTCAAAGCATCCAATTTAACATCAACTGTAATCATCCATTTTAATTGCTTGGTAAGACTGCAGACTCTCTGTGGCTTTACAGAGTGAGTCTTGCACACGTGCTCTACCATGCTGTGTGGGACCATAATTTTGGTTTGGATATTAAACTTGAGGCGGTGCCCTCAGAGGTCTGCAGCACTGTGTGATCATTATTATCACAGCAGTAGAGGAGGAAAAAAAGAAGCAACGTATGAATAATTATATGACTGCAAAAGGATAAAGGTTTTGTTCACAGTGACCTATATTTCTGCACAATAACGATAACCACAATTTTTATCTGAGGTTAACCATATGCGATCAAATATTGGGGGCAAATTTAAAATAGTTAGTATCACATTTAAACACACCAGTGACTGTCAAAGTAGGTACTGTATGTATCAAACAACTATAAATATAGCTCAACACTAGAAAATAGCATTAGCTTTCCATTTTGCTGATAGCAAGAACAATCTATTCTATACCATATTTACTATAATTCTGAAATTTCTTTTAGATAAGACAAAGGACATTTTTGTCAGAATTATTTAGGCCAAAATATTTGTTACTGTTAAATTGTAATACTGCTATTATAACTGTTACTAAACAATTCAAGATCACTTTACAGTTTCACCTATTATTAAACGCAGAAAACATAACTAAGCATTTCAGCATTCATTATACAATAGCATTGTGGGCCGATCAGCAGAAAAGAGTTAACAAACAAGGAGCAATCATTCCCCAAGTGCATCAACATCTTGTTGTTTCAGCAATTCAGTATAGAATGTAATTATCATCACCGAATAATGAATTAGTCAGCTCATTAAAGGCAAACACTGTCTAAAATCGTTTGTTTTTCTATAAAATATCTGATAACTTACCAGTAATTGAGAGATGGGTGCTCCTTTAACACACTGGTTGGTAGAAGTGGGAGTTCCTTTAGGTCTGACCTGGCTGTCTCAGCACTAAAAAAACACATGAGAATGAGGAAATGATTAAAAAAAAAAGATAAATAATTTCTCACAACAACAGGAGTTGTTTGGCTACACCTATATGGACAAGCATTTTATCCAAAGAAATGAATGTAAGCACAGAGGATAATTCCTCTTGGTTATTGTAATTTCTTTAGAGTACTATAAAATGAAGACATTTATCTGGGTGTGTACTGTTGCTGCACTATAGAGTTCTGTGCTCCGGTCTTTTCCTGCACAACCTTCCTGTTAAGCACAGTGACCTATCTGTCGCAGTTGGACTGTCCATCAGCATGACATCAAAGTAAGTTTCCAGGAATCCACGCTGTTAAACTACACCTGGCAATATCTTGTTTTTATTTTAGCTGTGCACTTCACATAGTGGCCCTACAACTCTTACAGCCTTAAAAAATTGGACCATTATTAAATCAAGATCTCTCAGCACAAAGTCTAAACATGCAGAAAATAATCTCCATGTGTGTATGCTTTCACAGTGCAGTTTGAAATTTTACTCTGAAGTCACTGCAGCAATAATTCATTTTTGCAAACCTTTAGAAAAGCTGCAATGTCAGGCTATGTTCTTGGATCTTTCTTCAGTCTACAGAATACTACATTTTGCCAAGGCAACAGTTATGCGTGACTTATGTCTTGCCAAAATTCATTTATTAAAGCAGGTGCAGAGCCTTTGGGTGAAGAAGGCCAGCGTGAAATCTAACATGAATGTTTTTTTACTGATTACAATTTTCTCACACAGGTTCCCAGGGGAATATATTAGTTTTCCTTTATAGTGAAAGTAAACAAAAGTTTAATGATTCAACTTCAAGGCACAGTCAGTGATTAAGCCACTATAGTTTTACAGAACAAAGGTTTCACTTTTACCAAACACAGCTAGTACTATCCGTGTTATCTGTAGAAACAAAATGTGGTGTTTGTCCCTGCCAAGGTCAGTGATAGTGAACTCTGAGTCAGTGCAGCATCGCGTAGGAGGGAGCACTGAGTCTACAGAAAGTTCTAAACAAAAAGAGCTCAGGGTTCATGGGCCAATCCACTGGAGACCTGAACAAAGGCCATTCACAAGAACTTGGCAGCCTCTGCCTGTGCTGATATATGATATGCAATACTTTAGATGTGTAGGTAAGGAGGGTATGAATAATTACAATGACTTCAACTAACCAACCAAGCCATGTATTTAAAACAAACTATGATAAATGTATTCACAATATAAATCAGGAACAGATTTTGGCATAATGATTTCACATGATTTCAGTCAATGTAAATAATGACAGTGAGAATAGACGTAACATACATTTAGATTTGTAATATTTTAAAACACAAGCATGAACTTCAACATTCAAAAAGAGTACAATCTGGAAATTTAATGTCTATCCTTAAAAAAATCCCTTAATTACATCTAGGTTCTGACCTTGTCTGGATAATACTATAAGAAAACACTTTAAGCTGGTTTTAGGTTAACTGCCATTTTAGCTTACAAACCTCTGTTGAAGTTTAATGGAATATAACTCATGGTCACATATTAGATAAAACCATCATGATCCAGTTATGTGAAACAGCTTCACAAACAAAACAAAGGTGAGTCTTGGCAAGGGCAGAGGTACTTAAATCACTCTCCACGTAGCTACCTCTCTTAGGTTGACTGGGTTTTGCTGCCATGGCACCTTGCTGTTCATTTGATGGCATACATTTTATGGGAAGCTGGGGCCTGGTGCTGTCGGTGTGATCTACTTTGCAAGACTGGCTGCTCTGTCAGCAATCTGGAATTCATTACTACCTATGTTATCTTCCTTCAGCCTGCAGTGTGGGGCAAATCCTACACCCATAACAGCCCAGCCCACTGCAGCCTACTCAGTGTGGGAGAGATAATACTCATGTGTCAGCTATTCCACAGGGCTGAGACTTGGTGACTGTAGAGGGATGCAAGATGAGAGAGCCTGTTGCTGTGAATGAACCACAAACTAGAGGGCAGCTCACCAAATAGAACCGAGAATTAAAACTGTTTGTGTGTAACATAGGTTTATGTGGATATAATTAGAACAATAATGACACTTTAGTAATCAATCTTCATACAAAAATGAATGGTTGTTTATTTTGTACACACTGCCTAAAACTCTAACCCATATAGTGGTAAGTGTCTTTTAGAAAAATATTGAAATTAATTTTTGCTGTAAATTCAAAGTCCACCATCCCAGGTAATAGCTCTCCAGTTTGGGAACCACTAATGTAATGGAATATTAACCAAACAATGCAACTCTGAAGGCTGTAGTACATTGTTCACAGTGAAAGTAAACGAATCCAATGCATAGCCAAGAGTTAAGACAACAATAACAGGACTGAAGCTTGCAACCGACGCCAAGTTGTCTACAAGTGGATGGGTGATCCCTCTTAAGGAGGATGAGGTCTCTAGAACTCCTCAACAGCTTATCTCAATGCCCTCAGTCCTATTGAATATTGGGTGCTTTATGAGGGGAGTTACCCTCTTTCTACCTTGAAAAAGCAAAGCCATTAAAGTTATTTAACCAAACTCCATTCCTACAGAACTTTATAAGCTTAACCACTTTACCATCACAAATGTTAATTTTCATATTTTATCTTTAATAAATATTTAAACAGTTTATTTTATCTTTGCAGTGTTGTACTTGAATTCCAATTCAATTAAATTCCACCCCTCACCTCAAACAAGCAGAACTTAAATCTGACAATAAAAGGTTTGATTCATCTCCAATTAGCTCTCGTTAAAGAGGATTTATTGGAATTAGTCAGGGATTTTGATTAATGGTTTCCTCTTTGCAAGATAATGTCTCCAGGAGCATTTGTGATGTCCAGGACTGTATAATGTATTACTTTTTTAAGGTTCCCTCACACATTAAGTTATGTTCATTATTGTAACATCTACTGAAGCAGTACCAACTAAGGGCTCAATAGCCATGGTCATTCAGCTGCTGTTTCTGACCTTGGTTGAATACATCCTTTGACACACAATAGATCTTTAAATTAAGCGTAGCTAGTTACAGTACATGACCAAAGTCTGTTCTAAATTGTGACTTCTCTCTCTTGCCTTAAAAACACAAAATACCTTTGTTTTTATAGTTTTTTTAAAACTTGAACCGGAATTTCAATACCTGTAATATACTGTAATTGTCTACGCATTCCTACAAAATAATGAATATACTTCATAAAATGTTGTCTATTGACCGGAGCTTGTGTTTCACAAAAGTGAGTTGTATAACAGTTCCAATGCTAGAAAACAGTGTGTTAGGAAACATTTGGACACTGTTGTTTTCTTTTTGAATTCTTCAGATTTGTTGGCAAGATGTCTTTTATTGTGTATTGAGAGTCAAGTCAAAGTGGAGCCCATCCCCAACCCAATGTGGATAAAAGGTTAAAGCTGCACTGCAATTGTAAGGCTTGAGTAGATTTAAAATCAAACACCAAGTTAGGTGTACAAAAATTGTGAAAACTATGCGTTTATATTTATGAGGTCAATAAAACTCTTGCATAGACATACAGTTAATAAGTGCAAGCAGATGAGCCATCTCCAAAACATTTCTGCAGGAGAACAAATGTATTGGCTCACTAGAGGTCCCAGTGTATTTTGAGCAGTGTATGACCAACTATAGACATGCAATTCCCTACAAAGCACAAATCATTGTGTTCAACATAATAGCCACAGAAAGGGCTTTCAGAGGCAAAGTGCAGATACAACACACAGGTTGTTCTGCTTCAACCTGCTCTGCAGCTCATGCCACCAGAGCACTGTTTGCCAGTTGCAGCAAAGCCCTTCACTTTTGACTCAAAAAGTGAAGGGCTTTCAAAAAATTAGACAACGCACCTTATCAGCAGGTCAAGTGTCAGAGAGCACAGCCCACTATGAAAACATTGTATCCCTTAATCAACCAGTTACAGAGGTTTAGCACAGACCAGCGATGAAGCCTGCTTTTAAAAACATCTGTGTATAGTAGTATAGATTTTTAACATCTGACACTAACAAAGAACCACCTTACTTTCTATCTCACAAGCTCATCTGTGGTGGACACTGCCCTAATGCTAATAGTCAGGCTGCCCTTCCTTGTACCACACCCAACTTTATCCTAAGATTTTTTGAGGGGGGTTGTACAAATGGCCTTAAATATTAGGTTTCTTTAAACAACTCAATTACAAAAAAATGTACACAAAATTGTTCAGTTTTCCAATGTACTTTTTTAAATGTGCCACGCTAGGTTGTTTAAAAGCAAAAACATTGTCTCAGTCTGTAATTCCGTGACCAAAAAAAGTGTTCTGGCTTAAACCTTTGGACCATGTGTATGGCAACAAGCCAAAAGAGATTCACTGTTCAATATCTGACAAATAACTTATTAACAGTAGGAGGACTAAGGTAAAAAAGTTGAGCATTAACTAACTGTGGATAGACTTTACTCTATTTATATCAATGTTACTCATTGCTACAGATGCAGCAGGAAAGTCACCTTTTCACAGAATTCCATCGAGGTCCACTTGCTAAACCAGTATGACTATTTTTTGATGAACCGTCCTTTCTCTTCCTTTTGCAAAATGGGTGACTGAATGTCCTCATGACTTTGATGTCAAAATTTAAAGGTATTCCATTGATACGCACTGATCGCATTTCCGTTAAAGTGACTGTAATCTTCCCTTAGCAATTGTTTTATGATGCACCTGTTTGTAATGAGATTCTCAGCACAACTGCAGACAGAAATGATGATTATCTTGATTATTTACGATTAAATTACTTAGATATTATAATATTTCTCCAAAAAGGGTAATGTAGTAAATTGCGATCCAACACATCGTTAACATTATGTGCAGGACAACGCATGTAACACGAGGAATATTTGGAAAAACTTGTGTTAACGCTTGTAACGACCGCTGCTTGTCTCAGAAGCTGGATAAAAATTGGTCCAGAAACAGTACACATTTATGTCAGCCGGAAATAAACGGTTTAAGTGGCACGATTAGCTCGTGAGCCTTCCGGTTTGTTCATTAAAATAACCCTTCAATTCAAACATTTTCCACATGACAATAGAACGTTGTTACTAAATGTTATAAAACTGAACATTACTTACTTAGTGTAGTTTCCTTTGGCCTCCTGCAAAACAAAAATGCCCTTGTTGGTAAAGAGAATGCTAAACACGTCAACACTAACTGAGTTGTTTAATTAACAGCTACCAGCACAACTAACGTTTTACATTTAAATGTCACTGACTCCATGTACATTTTCTTGGTCTCTAACTTTTAACAGTAGCTACACACATGCTGTGAAAAGTGGTCAGAATGGTTAACAATAGCTCCGACCGAGGTGAACACAAGACAACAGTTTTCAAATGATGCTCCTCCGCGGACCATTCACACTAAACTGCCAGTGACTAAGAGCCAGTAAAGACAACTCTTCCTTACCTGCAATGCGAATGCGGCTAGCCTGAAAACATTCTCACTCTCGACTTCGATGGTCTCCTGTGGCAGGGCAAACGGTCAAATTAACACGGTGTTTGAAAGAAAACACTTTTCTCACAAACTGCAGCCTGTCCCACACACTTGACTTGAAAAAGCTCTTCGTTCAGTACCTCGGTCCCACCGTTACGGACTGAACCAATGAGTAGACAAAACAGGACTGTTTAAAACCGACCGTTAAGTTGAAAGTATTTAGTTGTTTTAAGCGCAGCTGTCAATATGTATTTGTATGAACAACCAATTACACGGATTTAAGTAAAATACATTCAGAGCGGTGGTATCATGAATCTGAAGTAAAACCCCACGTGGATAAATTGGTACGGTCTGAAAACAGGTTCAACAGCCTCTGTCTCCCGTAGAGACCAGTCTGCTCTCCCCGCGAGAAAAAACTGCACTGCATCGTTTGATTGAGTGTTGCGTTTACGGACTACTCGGACATTATCCAGGACAACAAAACATCCGCTCGCATTAATGTGTATCTAATATATAACAAATAAACACCCACTTGGTTTAGGATTGCTGATAATAACATCTCAAAACAGATCATTAACTTGGACACAGAATGCAACACCGTTTAAATATTTTTTTTCTAAATCACGAACTCCAAAATGCCAAAACTGTTGAGGAACAGAGTAAGGGAATCTTCCAAAGTAGCACATATAGCCAACACAGATAAAAACTTTTAAATCAGAAATTAGATAGAAATAAATTATATAAATTCAATTTAAATAAGTTGACAAAACACATGATGCAAATCACCAATGTTGCTACCTTGAAACATTTTGCAGCACTATAAAGGGAGCCATAAAACAATTTGATTACATTCTTCCCAGTGCAAAGGTTTTGCAGGTTGATGATTAGTCGTGGAAACACCAAACTGAATTTATTTTTTAATTCAGAAATTAGTTCGAAGTGAAACACCTCTTTACATGACTTAAAAAGCTCAGAGAGATATTTTCAGAGAACAAACCAGTTTAAATACTTACATTAAATACAAGATATTTTGCATTCAGAAAGAAGAGTCCCACTGTAGTGTTCTCCTTAAGGTAGGTGATTTTCTCGATATAAAACCTAAAAACGGAAATGCAAAAAAATCACATATTAAGGAGCTGTCAATAATTGTGCCTTTTGAGTAAACTCTACTAGATTCAATGATTAATGTGTCATATTAACTTACAAAAGCAAGTAGAGTGAAAACAGACTTAAAGTATAATTCAGCACTGCCACCTTCTGGTCATTACACGACATGACAAGGATCACATCAAAACACATTTCTCAGTGCCATTTGTACAGCATTAGAAAAAAACCGCAGGGAAATCTCACTACTGTGGCACATTTAAAAAGTATTTGCCACAAGGTCACTCACCTAACAAGAAACTTGATCTCCAAAGGCCCCGAAGTCTTGGAAATGTCATGATCAAGGACTTTACGATCCAGCTGGAGCCAGTTATTCTGGCCACTGCTTAGGAATAAACAAATAAATCAGTGGCACAATATGTTCTGTTTTCCTCTCATCAAATAAGGTTAGTTTCTCCTGTAAATCAACTCATCACTCAAAGAGTGCAATGGATGACATTCTCACAATTATTATTATAAAATACCACAATTATTTTACCTGTGCAACTGGTGCAATTTGATTAAATTCCCTGCATTGAAACATTTAAGTCCACCAGAGCCAAAACATCTAGGTAGCTTTGTAAAAATGTGTCAAAATCAAGGGCAAAAGTAGCGGTTCTGGACCAGAACAGACAAAATATTTGCTCCACCTATAATCAGGACCTTGGTTTTCAAAAGCTATAAACTCTATCTTAACCCTATCCTCAAAATGATAATGAGCCCATGTGCTCTACATCTTGACATGCTCTGACATTTCTACCGAGGTGTTATGGTCTGGTCAGAATTGCCTGGATGGACACATTTGTATTTTTGGATCAGGAAATGTACTCACGTGTCATTTATGAAGCACAATCCAAAATACTCTTTTTCCTTCAGGTTAAAATGTGAGGCCACCAAGTCAAGAAGTTCACGGGACAGTAGTTTAGGCTGCAGAGGTGAGGAGAAAACAGGTCATGGTATTTGGTAGTGCTGAAAACTAAGTCTTGCATCACAACGCAAGAATACAGACATAATGTGGAAACCATTGTTAGCGGTCAATTAAACACATTTGGATGAGAGTTAAGTAAATAAATATTTCTTTAAAAGGTACCTGCACCAGCAGCTCCAGATTCCTTCCATCGAGGAGTAGAATCTGACAAAGTCGCCCTTCAGTCATCTGGGGAAAAAAAAGAAAAAAAAACAAACCTCATGAGACATTCAAACCTTGGTCTCCACTTTTACCTGTCCCTTTTCAAACACAGCTGTGCTTCCAGTGCCACAGCTCCAGGCTAAAGTGGCTACATCAATGTCGTGTTTGGTTTCGTGCTGAATGAAAAGGTAAGAAGAGCCAACGGGGGATGTGACCAAATATAGGACGCTAAAGATCAAAGTCAGTGAAGAACACTTTGAGGTGTTTTTGAAAGTGGGACAAAGCTAATTTCAGCCATAAATCAGTTTTTACCAGGACAGGGTGATGTCCTTTCTCTGCATCAGCTCTTGTCTTACCCCAGTGAAGCCCCACTCTCCTCCACAGTGCAGTGATTACACAAAAAGACAATGAATTCCTGCACACCTTTAATGCGAAACGTCAGCCTGTTGCAATCGGCACATCAGCCGTCAATTGTGTGTTCATGAACAACAATAGTCACAGAGGCAACACATTTCAGCCAACATTTTCTGTGGTTGTACAAATCTCAGTGAATCTGCTCCCACATTTAAACCATGGAAAGTTTCACACCCAGACTTTGTTGCCTCTGTAAAATATCTTCAGAGAAGAATTATATTTATTTTCCTGGTCAATTATATCACACTTTTATACTTTTGTTAATGTTAATTCTTAAAATTTGAGATAAATATTAAATACTGTATGTTTAAAGGTTACTTTTGCCTCTTTGAGACCACGTTGCTGTTGCTGTATTTTTCTCTTTCTTTTATTGCTGATAATGTAGTGGCCAAGCTTTTCATTATTTTGACCAAGTTTTGTAAAGTTTTTACAATTAATTGATAATTTTGCAAATATCTTGCTGCATTATACAATGGCTCATTCCATACTTTGCAAATATCTTGCTGCATTATACAATGTGTTCGTCTTCATTTCATTATGGCTCATTCCATACTTTACATTACATTTATCAGACGTTTCTATCCAAAGACTTACAGTTTATGGGGTTTCTTTAAAAATAAAATTGTACATTTTCAAAAACATGTATTTCTTTAATGACTAATACCTTTGTTTAAAAGTATAAAGATGCTTGGAATGTTTTAAAAAAGATTATTTTATTCATTTTAAATCAGGTAATACAGTAATAAAAATAATATAACGAAGGGACTTATATTTAACCAAATGTTAAAAATGTTAACTACAGTTAGCCCATTAAGCTAATATATAGTACACTGCTGTGGAAATGCAACTTTTTGGATTTTTAACAACAAAAACAATCTGACAAACACAGCGATGCTGAAGCTAGTGTTTGGTTACAGCAAGCTCAGAGAAGCATGGCGCCTTTCTTATTTATGTTGCTACAGTTGGACTGCAGTAATACAAAGCAGAACCTACAGTAACTGTAACGTCTGTGTGTTTGTCTAACTTGATCCTGTTTGCCGCCCAGGAATCTGTCCCAGGTTGGGCTTTTTATGTCCATGACTTCAATAGAACACATGTGGCATCCAACCTCTTTCAGCTAATGTGGTGGAAAGGGTCATATTTGACGTCGTGCGATGGCCACAGGGCGGGAGCGCTGCTCTGTGGGATGGTGTTAAACTTCAGTCTCCAGGGACACATTGTTCTTACGACCACAACAGAGCTGTCATTTCACTTTATTTTTTACTGTACAACCAACTTTTACATGTGACTCTTTTTCAACACCCTCGACCTCAGTGGGATTTACAGCTCTGTGGGCAGGACTAACTACTCAACGAGGGTTTTATTTGCAGTCACACTGAACTAGGGATGTGTGAAAACTCTGGACTTTGAAACTTTATCCACTGTCTCTACGGTATGTCCATGTGCATGTCTTAGTCATTCAAAAGAATCAAGGAGCGGCAGCAGAATAAAATTGAAACACCACAGGACCAAGTCAGAACTACAGTAACTACAGATAAGATACACGGCAGCTAAACTTGGCTGAAGACAGACCTGGATCAACTAAGGTTCTGGTTTTTCGCTGCACTCCCAACTGGGTTGACGCTCCCCCAGTTCTCCAAACCTTTTCTTACAAAGGCAGCATGTTTAATCAAGCTCAAATGACCAAAACACATGAACCCCACAGAAACACAAACGCATACAAACTGTTACTGGTAAAACTCATCAAATGAATGAAAAAAAATATATATGTATTTTTTTCATGCCATTTAATGACTGAATATATATGTTTATATTTGTTCCTGTCATTTAATGAGTTTTAACAAGTAAAGTAAATTTTAACTTCAAGAACCCCACAGAAACACAAACGCATACACACTGTACACACGGAATTTTAACTTTTATAAGTGTATTCCCACCCTAGCATGTCATTCATAACAGTCCTTGCAATTGACCTCATGAAAACCTACCTCAAAATAACTACTTCAGTAGGTTGTGTTAGCCACAGCGACCTTGCAAAAAATATATATTATGAAAGTTTTTACAACTGCCCTCAGACTCTGAGGTTCTACAGACAAACATATATACACATACTGTATATATATTACTGCAACTCAAGCCTTGTGAATTCAACTAGAGGCAAACAGCGTCTCATGACTGAAACTCACTCGTTCTCCCAGTTCAAAACCAAGCGCCGTACCTGGTAGCATTTCCCAATCCTGAACCAGGTTTCCAGGAAGCGTCTGCAGGGCATCAGGCCTTGATAGCACCACCTTCTCAGGGTCTGATGGGCCAAGCTCCAGGCAAACTGACCGCCTGACGCCACCAGGTCCTCCATTCCTCTAATGACACGCAAAGCCATGAGTGTCTTCCCTACTCTCCAGACCAGGGAAGGACAAGAGCTGAAAAACACTTTGTTTTGCCTCAGAGCTACGAGCTGAAAGGAGCATCTGCCATCCAGCAGACACAGACAGTCTACTATGTCTCTCCAGCTGATGTAATGTCAGTGAGAGTCGGTGCTCTGGAGAGGCTGGAGCACAGCAGCAAGCCTCAGGCTGGGTCCTGGGCCCTGGTCCAAAAGACTGCCTCATAGAGTGCAGGGGAGGGCAGAAAAGAACCACTCGGCCCCTGCTGCAAAGATTCAAATCTTTTCCCCATAAGCAAGCTTATATACAAACAGCAGTGAGTACAGAAGCTGAGGCTAAATGGTTGCACTAAAGCAGAAATGTGCAGGGCTGGGGAGCAGATGTGGTGCCTGCAATGACATGAACTCAAGTTTGTTTTGGAATAAAAAGAAAAAATCTCCCCTGCATACAGTACAGGTTCCAGAATTAATAACAAAATAAATAATAAAAACAATAATAATGATAATAATGGGATAAAAATATAAAAGATTTTAGATCCATCACCATCCTCAAAACCACTGTCTAATGAATGTCACCGTGCAGCCTTCAGAAAGATCCACACTTTCACATGATCACAGAGTCAAAAAGTGAGTTTCTGTCCTTTTATTATAAACACTGTCTTTGAGTCTCATAGTCACATCTTCCTGTGATGAACACAGTCTCACTGCATTGAATTGTTATTTACAGATAACAGCATCATAAAATGCTCCTGGAGACTGTACCAGGTGAAGACCAGGACATATTATTTTGTGTATAGACCCACAAGAGTGATCTGACCATGAGAGAAAACATTTCCTAAAGTTGGATCAGCTTTTCTCTGGAACCACAGTTTGGTATTTTACATGCCAAAGATGGAAAAAAAACATCCAAGTGAACTGGGGATCTGCAAATCTGGGATCAGGAGGGAGACATTCCCCCTATTTTCTTTTATATTTGCACTCACTTTTTCATATACAATCATCCTCAGATCTTTTTACTAAAATTTCTATTTAACAATAAAATATATCTTTTCATATACAATCATCCTCAGATCTTTTCACTAAAATTTCCATTTAACAATAAAATATATTTTTCTTGTTTGTCTCTGAAAGGGTGTGGGAACCTCGCAACACTTTGTCCAGGATAAGGGAGTCATTTCCTGAGGAGACCAGACATCTCCACCCATTTTTTATTCTGCAGCGACACTAAAAATAATTCAAGTTTTTTATGAGCAAAGGGCGGCAGAAAACAAAGACACAAAGTGGAAAAAAGCTTGTAATGCAAAAACACAGAGATTTGAACAGATGCCGATCGCACTGAAGCAGAAGAACAGATGAGACAGAGCAGGCAGCAGCATTGTTCCTTAGCTGTAAATAATATCACACTGACTATTAATCTGCTGCCAGTTTTCACGAGTGCTTAACTTGTTCAGTCAGCGCGATGACGTTTCACTGAACACGATCAGCTCGAGACGTGTTGTAGGGTTACAGCAACGACACATGTCCAAACATTTGTAATATTAATAACACAACAATGTAATATTACACTGCTGTCAATCACTTTCATTTAGTGTTAATGTTCCACCTTTATGCATAAGGCGTGTAAAATTGTGTAAAGTTAAGGACAACGTAACATTAGGTCTCAACTGAATTCTAGGCAGGAAATTTTAAAACTAAATGTCTTTAATTGGTAAATAAATAAATAATTTAATTTTTTATAATTCATAATTATTAAATAATAATAATTATCATACAGGAATTTTTTAGCTGGCTACAACTAAATGTCAATTAATTTTGTGCTGCAAATCGCTAAATGGTAGCCCAGAAGAAGCCATAGTTACAAACAGAAGTTCACTTTTTTTTAAATTAAAATATGATCAGAGAATGCCACTTCATTAGTAACAAAATTCCTCAAGAGTTTAGCCACAACATACATGCTCGTAAAAATTTGTAAGCATAGCACTAAGTGAGCCAAAACTGAGCAAAAATTAGCCAAAACAAATGTGTCACTAAACATCAGCCAAGAAAAAGAACATTTTCCAAATAATTATACTAAAATAAAAAGCAAAAAACAAAAAACTGTATTGTAAAAATACTGTGTGGAACAGAATTTGCAGGTCAAAGAAGTGGACCAGCAAACGCAGTTAAACAAACAAATCAACGTCCAATTACCGCTGACGTCAGTCATGCATGTAATTACATGTAGCTGCACATGTGTAACATGCACATCTGCTCCCAAACCTGTCTGACCAGAGTGAACAAATCAATAAGGCTCTAATGCTGGCTGCACACAGTGAGCAGTGGTCGAGGAACACAGCTGTGGCCACTGGCTTTTACAGTAAAGAAAACTGTAGAAGCCACTGTAGATTACTGTGCATTTGTTTTCTGGGATTTCAGAAATGAAACTCCTAAACCATTGCTTTACAATTCTCAAAGAGTGAAACTCAGTTCTGGTCACATGATCGAGATCCATCCTGATGAGTAAGAAAGTGATCTACAGGCTACAGAATCAACCTTACTAAATGGTACTAAAATATCAAGATGTCCTCACAGCAGTAGCTCCTCCTAGTTGTGTATCGTAGTATAACACACAGTGGAAACATTTACGGGTGAGTGTGTTGCAAACAGCTGAGCACGGTAAACATGCTCAGGCGTACCAGGAATGACTGTCAACAACGGAGCCAAACACATGGAGAACACAAAGCACTGGTAACAGCACAGACGGGCAACACGTGTCAAACAGCAGCTGGTTCTGATGCGAGTACTGTTAATGTGTGTTAATGTGTTAATGTTGTATGGATTTCTAAATCTAAGATTACAAAATAAATATCAACTTTATTTAACTACTCTATAATATAATAAAACCTGTTTCTGCAATTGGTTATTACAAATATTTTAAACAACCTAATCTAAGATTACAAAATAAATATCAACGGAGAACATTTCATTTTGTGATATATTAAAACAGGGGCAGATCAGTGATAAGACTGTGTAGCTTTAACTACTCTATAATGTATTAAAACCTGTTTCTGCAATTGGTTATTACAAATATTTTAAACAACCTCGTGTAATAAAAATTAATCAAGTTAAGAAACTCAGCAACATGGACTTTATTGTAAGGAACACTTTTTGAGGCCACACAAAATCACTTGGCGGGCCGCATTTGGTCCGCGGGCCTCGAGTTAGACACACATATGCATTAAAATATTAAATAGAGTTGCCATCAGATAGTGGTCATTTTTAAGAGCATGAACATGAACATGAACTTGAACATGAGCATGTTGTCTGTTTCCACATGAACACCCCTGCAGGCACATATCCCATAATCCCTGCTAATTTCCACACTGTGCCTGTGTTTCACAGGGTGTGGAGGATGTAGGAAGAGGCAATGACCCCAGCTGGAGTCAATAAGTACGAAACGGTTCACAGAGGGGAACATGGGAACTGTCTATCTGTAACTCTGAGAGAGAACAGCATCTTTGACCATTACACTGAACTGGAATTGAATTATTTGAATTCTGAAATAGAATATTCTTTGGATTCCAACAGCACTTAAACCACTCCGTCCAACCAACGTTTTCAGGCTAATGTTCGTCTGAGATGAGATTTGTGAACAAGCAGCCTTGTAACCTCACAAATGTTCACAGAAGTTGTTGGCAAACGATCCCTGTCTGCTGCCTGGCACCACAGCCACAAACACCGTGACCTCACAGCGCAGTCTGTCACCAACTCTGATGTCATCCTGGTGTAGAGTCATGTGCTGCCACATCAGACTCTGTTGACGGTTTTTCATGGCTGTCCTTGTACACGGTCCCTCAGACTCAGGACAAGCACCTACTGTTTCATCCTCTGGGTGCAATTCAACTCTGAGACCAGCAGATGGTGTCGAGGGGTATCTTAACCTTTACTAACCGTGTAAACTATATTGGAATTAACAAAGTACACTTTCCCTATGGAGGTTGGTTATTATTTTATGGCCATGGTCTTTGTCCTCAACTCACTTGTGGGTTCAGAGACAGAAGAACCAATAAGGAGTCAGACAGACAGGCTGCCGTGAGTTAACCCCCCCCCCACCCCCCCAGGTCTGTTCACTCCCAGAAGTGTTTTTTTTAATAGGTCTAAATCTGTTGAGAATATTATAAAGGGCGTGACAGTGCCAAGATCGACACAGTTCTGTGCCCTCAGGCTAAATTTAACACGGGATGGCAATTACTGTGTACACTGAGCGGCAAACGCTAGATTCATAGTATAAAAAGGAGGGGGGGAGGGGGTCTCTGGGTGAGTGTGACAGAACCATAGAGAGGCAAACAAACAGCTGTCCTCCACACAGGCCTGCAGATGACGAGCTGTGCCACCTACTGTGACTGGAGCTGACACTCTGGACGGAAGATTTTAAATGCAGCGTGCCAGACACAAGGCAAGACGCACGCGCGTGGACAGCCGCTTACACCGTCATCTGTCGTGGACAGCAGGTGGACGCGTGTCAGAAATTGTAACACTTAGGAAGAAGGAGATTTGTATTCATGCGTTTAAAAAATGAAAGATTGAAATCATAAAAAAAAACCTGAAAATTAAATTTTAGATTAAACGGTGTGTCCTACTCACTGTTACAGATCTAATATATATATAAAGCACAATATTTGATTTCTGTTTAAGGTTTATAGCAGAGGCCCCCGACCGCCAGGCTCTGGAGCTTTAGACCAGGGACCAGCAGGTCAGCTCACCTCTGAATTCTAGATGTTTTTAAAGATAAAAAATAAAAAATAAATCAAATATCCAGGCGACATAGACTTACAATAAAAAAAAGCACAGTTGTCTTTATTTAAAACCGTTACAGTCAAAGCTCAGCATGTCTGGCCCCCGGGCCTTCACATCAGAGAACACGCCTGTTAGTGTGAGGCTGCTATCCTCCATTATCCTCCACTGTGATCGAAATCATCACTGAGTCTGTTTAAGAAAACCACAAGACTTGTTAATTACTGCCAATTAACACCATGTGATCAGACTCCATTTGGTAAATGAATGAAGGGACAGACAGGCTTTTTTGTGTGCGTTGATAAGCGACAGTCGTGCC